TCTTCTTCTCTTCTCCTCCTCTTCCTCCTCCTCCTTCTCCTCCTCCTCTTCGACGAGGAAGGCGAGTTGGAGGACGACGACGATGGCGAGGAAGTGCCTATGGCAAGGAGGTGGTTGCGCAATGACGAGGTGGACAATGCAATGGACCAGGAGGAGGGCCTTGCGCACATAGACAAGTACACGAACGACTGGCACTTCAACACTCGACCGGGGAGGCAGCTGGAGCGTGCCTTGCGGAGGTTGTCGGGCCATGAGCGCCCAGCACCTGAAGTGCAGTATAACAAGGAGGACCGGGAGCTTGCGCTGCGGGCTCGAGAGGCGTGTGATTGGGTGGAGGGTCGAAAGGAAGGCGGAAGCAGCAGGCAACGTAAAGTGCGGCGCGGTGATGAGGGTCGCCGTCACGGTAAACGTGCTACGGAGGAGGTCATTGAACCTCCGGAGAAACGGAAGAGAGGACGGCCGACCAACAAAGAGGCCGCAGCAAGAAAAGCAGCAATGCGAGCCGAGAAGAAAAAGGCAGCGTTGAAAGCATCGAGAAAAAAAAATCCAAGGGAAAAAAAAAAGCAGCAGCAAAAGCAAGAAAGAGGGACGACATCATCGACGATGACGGCACAGAAGCATGTTCATCGTCTTCAGCTTCATCAGAGGAGGGGGATGATGAAGGTCATGATGCCAACGACGGAGAACCGCGGAGTGTAGAGGAGGGAACTGAGCACGAGGAGGAGGAAGAGGATGGCGAGGAGGAAGAGGAAGGTGAGGAGGAAGAGGAAGGTGAGGAGGAAGAGGAAGGCGAGGAGGAAGAGGAAGAGGAAGAGGGCGAGACTTCTGCACGGGGAGGTGCAGAGGATTAGGAAATTTAGGCGGAGTTGATGCCGCTGACTGCAAAGGTTGCGGTTTCGCGGTTTATCTTTTGCTGTTTGGTTGCACTTGGAACGAAGTAAGAACTGTGAACTACAACTTCTAGAAGTTGTAGTTCATCTTCTAATTATCAGTTAAGTAACTTAAGTAGGTCTTTAAGTTAGCATTTTGTCCATTCTTCCCGTGTTGCAGTGTGCGTGTGTGGTTTTCTGTCATTTGCCCATTTGCAGTGTTCTGTTTTGCTGGCTATGCAGTGTTTCTGTGTCTGCATCAGATAACAAGGGATAACAACTTAACAGGTGAGT